AGGCACTTGTGTCAAAATTTGAGGCTCACAGGTCATGACCATCAGGTCAAATGTGGTCAAACAAGATCACTAATTGCAAATTGATGTCTAAAGTGACTGACTCTGGCCTCCAATAGCTCCACGTAAGATGCCTGATGTGCTCCCTGTTGTTTATAATTTCAAAATGAGCACCCACCGCATGCAGCAACGACTCGAGTAAAAACATGTTGGTTTGGCCTTGGTTTGACCTTCATACCTGACCATGAAACACACCTGATCTGCCATAGGGCAGCGACCGTAAAAAGTACATCACTTTTGCGTACCAAAAGATGCGCTTTTCCATCGTCTACAGCTGTGTAAGATTTGGCGCGGCTAAATGTTCGAGAGAATGTTTATATCTACTGATCCTGCTGAGCAAGACTACGAAAGCTATTTTGGAATAAGATGTCAAGGTTATGCTAGGGCATCTATGTTTTGCTCTAGATGCATATGGTGTACTTTCAAAATGACCACGGTGTTGTATGTTACTTACGATAAACATATTTATGGTAATGTTTAAAAAAAACTGCAGTTAGCCGCATAACCTTCAAATTTTCCATAAGCCCATTCTCCTTCGGTGTTTCGTTGATGCAAAATAGTACTTGCATGTGAGAGAGTGGCTCTGCTAGACGAACTAGGTACGCATCGACAAACTACGCTTCTTAACTGTGAATCCGCAAAAGCGAGGACGAGAAGGCAACTGATGCAAGTGTCCTATGGCTTCTTACCTGGGCTGATCTTCAAGGCTAGATGCGTAAAACGCCGACCAGGTCTGTTTGTATAGTCTGCACTACCAGCAGCCAGCGCGAAGCCACTTATGTAAGTGATTTATATTGACAAGACATGTCGCTCACATGTTAGCAAGCGAACCGTTGGGGAATCCGAATGAACTGCTTTGTCAGAACGCATTGCTTATATCAATTAACCAACTGTACCTCGTTTGATATGCCTCAACTAAGAAGTCTATGTGCGTAACACAATATAGCCCATGCTTAGAGTTTTGGAGTTTCAAACATTTCTGGGGCAATTAGCACTCCTTACAGCAATGACCTGACCCATCAAAAAAGAAGACGAACGTCCTCATTTCTAGAACGCGAAGAAAATGCGGTTCACAAAATGGCATACTTCCAACCAAAAATAAGGCTTAACAAATTGACACTCTTCATTTTCTTTGATGCTGCATGTCATTGCGCCTGTTGAGCCACTGCCTCTTCACGCTACTATGGTATATCAGCTTGTCATAAAACTCACCAAACTACAGCTTTACAGAGATCTTACAGCGTTGGGAGCGAACGGCGAGCATAATAAACTTAAGACGCCACCACTCTAAAGGGAGTGTGTCTGGTGTTTTCGGTTTTCTCAATGCACGCCTAAGGGGAGTTTGACCGCTACCTGTGGTTAATTGTGACTGCTAAATGTGCGTTTGGGTCTTGCAACAGATTTAATTTACCTATTCGTATCAATCCCAACGATGGTTGTGCCTGAACAAGTACCGTCTTGAAAGATACACCAATCAAAGGACAGGAAACAACAAATGCACTGGCTTATATGTGGCGAGTAACTGCGCGCTAGAGACGTGGCCATTATTTTGGTTGCTAAGTAACGTGGAACAACCCCACTTTCCTAGAGCTTAGTGCAGCTGACTGACTCGACAAAATGCTTGCTCCCCATCTCAGCATAAAGTAAGCCGACATGAATCGGTGCGTACGAGCTGACCAGCCCTACATACGTCTAAACCCGTAAAAACATCATGGCCGCCGCCATTGCCGCGTTCGCATGCTGCTGTCTGCGACATCGCTGGAAACGCTGACAAGCGACATCCTGGAAAAGCCGTTGGCTGGAGCTAACGATGCCTTCTCAATGATGTCGATGTTTTTAGTAGTGAATATTTCTTGGGGGTTACCCGATGAATTTGTTCTTCCATAAAAAGTAAAGGAAATTTGGTTACTTTGGCAATATCTCGTGAGTGGAGGCGAAATTGCAAAAAAACTAGTGACACTAGCATTTGTAAATCGAAATTCCCTACCATCCTGCTTACGCAGTTAAAAATCCTGACTTGGCTAGACACACTCCCTTTAACCATGTGCGAAAGCAACTATTCTCCGATGGGTTTGGCCCTTGTAGGTCCTGAGTGATAGCGTTCACCCCCCCCCCCCCCCCCTCCAGAAACCGTAGACGTGCCTGCGTTGCGTGACGCTTGTTCTGTTTCGTTTTTACTTCTTTTCCTCCCTGCGTAAAGCCCAGGGTTTCCCCACGGATCTTCCGCAAGACGCCGCGGACGTTTGCCTAGTGTCCGGTGGTCCAGTTGCGCGGTCCAGTGACAGCTGTCAGTGGGGGCTGGCGTGGTCGGCGGCGGTGGCTGACATGCCGCAGGCGGTGGTGCGGGAGTGGTGCGGTAGTGGTGCGGCCGGCGCGTCCGCAGCTGCCGCCCGACCGTGCGTGAGCGTCGCCGGCCCGGCCGCGGCCGCGCGAGGCGCACCCCGCGGCTCGCGATCGATGCCCGCCGGTATGCGGCGGTGCCCGCTCAGGGATGCGGCGGGGCCCGCTCAGGGATGCGTCTCCTCGATCTTCGTCGGCTGACCTCTGTAACCTGGCGAACTGCAGCTCAAGCTGGCGACGCCCCGCCGTTCGGCTGACGTGTGTAAGCTGGTTGGCTGCCAATTACCGGCGGAAAGGCCCGCTGCCTAGCTGGCTTATGTAGGTTGAGTAGCTACCAGTCGCAGCTGGGGTGCCCTACCGGTTGGATGGGGTGTTCGCTGCTGTGCAACTATTGCATTGCAACTGTGATGATTTGTATGTTTTTGACTAAATACATTTGTAGGTAATTAATACATATTTCTACGAAATCATGCGTAATGTTCTCTAGCATCAGTGTCAGTTTTGCTTTAAACCAAGTTAATAATCACTAAAGCACGCTTATTGTCTACCATTTTTTTGGAGGCATCCCTCAAACAGTTTGGAAGATGATGCCTTACTAAATTTACGCCTGCCCTAAAAATATCAACTTCCTACCTTCTCAGATTGCTGACAAATTGTATTGCTCCCAGGGTTCTGCGCGTGGAAAATGGGCAGATTTTGTACCTGGCAACACCTTCATTGCAGTGTGCGCTGCAGCTTCGTTTTATGGCCCTTAAGATTTTTATGGTAACATGCTGCGCAAAATCAGCTTGGGTCACATCTGGAGAGGCTATTGAAATCAGGATCACATCAGGTGAAAATTTGTGTTTTCGACCTATTGACTCTTGGCCTCATAGCACATTTTACGAAGACGAATACATATATATCCACGAAATGTGCTGAATGGTTCTGGAGGGTCATAGTGATTCGGTGCATTTCTTGTCTTCATAAGCAGTTCTTCTTACACCCAGATGCTGACTTGTGGCCTTATTCTGTCAGACGAGGACAGTGCTCTCTGGCACCACGCGTGAATCAAGTGAGCTCAAGCATTAAACAAGCTTAAGGTTCTATTTTTGTGGTGCATTCATGTCAGTTGGCGCAACACGAGACATTGTCTTCCGATAACACGCACCCGGGCGGCCGGTTGAATACATTTCGCTCGGCTGGGGGGGGGGGGCAATTTGACCCCCTGAGATCACAAAAACTAAGATAGCTAAATACACCAAAATCGTAGGGTGGGTTGGCTTGTGCGTGAACCAACTTGCGTTAAAATTTTTGGTTCCTAGTACTGTGATCTTGGGGTCAAATAAATCAAACAAGGTCAAACTCCAGATTATCTCCAGATATCCAGATATCCAACTACCGACATCCACCAAGGCCTCCTCATGCAACCGCCGTTAAGCTAGAAACCTGTTCCAAGCAGAAGTTTGACAGGTGGTCAATTGAGGTCAGTGACCTCGCTTGACCTTTATAATGCCAAGTTGGACCAAATACCTACGAGATTGTTCCGATTTTGCCACTCGAATAAGCGTCAGGGTTTGCACTACGCGGTATGTTCCTTAAAAAATGTCTTGACCTGGGTCATTTTAGATCATCAGCCAACTCTGACCTTTGGAAAGTGTATTGAGCATGTCTGTTGCGGCTTCCGTCATTAATGAATTTGAGATAAGCACCTAGAAACTACCCTATGGGCCAAGCTCTCAAGTAAAAAAGCAGATTAGTTCTGACCTCGGTCTGACCTACATACCTGACTCTCGGTCGATGAATGTGGTTGTTATTTTGAATTACATTAATTGACGGGCTAAAAAATATTTCAAATATTTATAACTTCATCTAGCGCTCTGTTGTTGCATCACATTGAACGATTCCCGAGAAATGCCCCTTTCTGACAGCCATGCCCTGACTTTGGCCTGCCATAGGTCAGCGACCGTTCAAGTTACATCCAACTTTGGCACATCAAAAGATCCGTTATTCGATACTCCACAAGTATGAAAAGTTTGGCGTGGCTACGCCGCGCTGGTTGGAAATCATTTTGGAAAAACCTTCGAGGGTCAATTTGGCCCTCCACCCGAGCGTGCGTTAAAAATGGTCATGAAGAAATCAAGACTTTCACGTCGTGGTTGCTGATATTCGTTATTTAACTGATGTATATATCGCTGATGCAAAGTCTGGAACTGAAAATAAACGATTGATGGCACCCAAATTTGCAGCTTGGAACGCAATGTAAATTATTGCAATTTTGCACATCCGACTGCGTTCCACGCATTAGATAGGGACTTCTATATGCGAATTGTGTAGCATTTCACATCATATTGCTTGGGCGCAGTGATGCCTTTGATCAAAACAGGATGCCTACGCGGAAGTGTCATGGCATGGAGCTCCAAAGGCAGTGGGAAATGCACACCACTGGAAAATGCCGTGAACTTTTGTATGAATTACGGTGATGGACAATTTAATGACAAATCTGTCAGTAAAGGAAGGCTATCAAAGACCCGACGTCTATTTCAAGGCTTGTGATGAGATGCATGCATGTATGTCCTTGTCCTGGTTCCGGGCTTGATTATGATGTTCTTATGCTTTTGCAGGGTACCGTTGTTGCGATCAAGATGCTGTCAGGCAGAAAGATTGACATCAATAGAGCCCTCCTGATGGAGCTGAAAAGGGCAAGTACCCGCCCGGTGCTAAGGTGTATGTGAGACGAGCATGGTGTTAGCATCTAGAGATGTAGAGGACGCGGATTATTCGGTTATACAAGTACAAATTTCCTCGTTTTTGGGGGATTTTAAAAGGAACACCTTTCGAAAGTCTACATCACGCTCCAACTTCACCCCGATCGCGATGGACCTCGTAATCAACTCCTCGTGACCGGACCCTGGTCACGCGGGCACCTGTCGGCGCCGGCCGACGGAGCGGCGCAGTCCGCGCAGCGGCGTCGGCAGGCGTCGCTCGCGGCCGGCGCGCTGCGTCAGCCGATGCCGGCCGGCCCGCGTCTCGCCTCGAGCGTGTCTGGCCGCCGGCACCCCTGGGAGCCTGGCGGCCGCACCTGGTCGATTGGCGAGCCGCGGCCGATCTCCTGATGAGCGCCGCTCGTAGCGACCTGAGGGACGGAGCGGGCATGCTCGGCAGCGGACCGGTGTGGCGGCCGAGTATCACCGGCAGGGGACGGGTCAGACCAGTACTGGGGAGCGGACCGGTGCGGCGTCCGAGCATCAGCGGCCGTGGGTGGTTGTGGTGGAATTTGTAAAGCACCGAAATGTATGCCTGCACAAGCTGTCTGTACACCTGAACTAACCTGTATTTCCAACCTAACCTAAAAACCTAACCTAACCTCATGCTTAAGTTAACCAGAAAACTAACCCAACCCGTATACGTAACTTGACTTTTTAGATAACCTGACCTGTGCGACATTCGGGATTGTACGCCTATTATTTCAGGGATTTGTGTCGTATGGTGATTTGGCCTTTCAACGAAGGTTGGTAAAACTGCAACCTGTATGTCAACTTATTCACCACCAACAGAAATCAAATCTAAAATCAACTACGGCACGGCCAGTGCTGACCATTTATGCTTTGTCCACATCAATGACGCTCCGGGAACGACATTAATTGTGAGCAACGTCATCTCATCTTGGCGAATAAGGTGTGCTTCGAAATGATTTATTATGGTCAACATTGTCAACATTTCAGCATTATGTGACATCAACTCAGTTTTCTTAGAACCCAGTATGATTGTGACCTTCGTCATACCCCCCCCCCTCCCCCATTGTGAACAATGATTAAGGTGTATCGGTCGTTGTAACTGCATTGCATATCTGAAATGAAGTTCTATTTGTTTAGAGACGCCTTCGTATTTAGAGCGTCTTATGTTGCACGCATTCTATAAATTCAAATTAAGCATATTTGAGGCCACCGGAAAATAAATATGACTTCGCCTCTGATCCGAGGCGCTGTCGAAGTAACAATATTGTGTTGTTCTGCCTGTTTTGTATGTCTGATGATATTAATAGACTGTTTTAATGTTACGGAATAGCAATATAGGCACAACCCCGCATAACTTTTCGAATGATAGTAAAACTGTTGCAATGAGCCTAGGAAACCTTGGTAGGAAGCAAACAAAACCCCGTTATTCTATCCTTTTCACCGAGAGATGTATTAGGGAAACATGCTGCCCACATCCACGAATATCTATATCTATATATATATATATATATATATATATATATATATATTTATATATATACACACACACATATATATATATATATATATATATATATATTCATGTACTTTGTGTAAGTATTAAGCGCATATGCTGCTTTCACACAGCTCGATATGAAAGGCTTCCATTTTTGCAAATGTTTACTTTGTGAGGTAGGCTCTTAAGAACACGGAGTTTCCTGCTCTCTCACTTTTACAATTTCCTGAAGAGCCCCGTCGATTATTATGCCCTGGAGTCGCTCTTGTCACCCAGATATTCATATTTCATCATGCACCGCCTAAAGACATCACTGAGAAACGCTCCCGTTTCCGCGCTAAAGTATGCGTTTCATCTCACTGTGGCCACCGGCCTACCAAAATATTCAGAACTTCGTTGAACATTAGATTTTCGCGGCCTGGTGCCGCAGCAGTTTGCGCTAGGATCTTGAGCTGTTGGTGGTACGTGTGCGGGAAATGTTGATGAAAGTTCACCGAGTTTCAAGACTCCAGTTCAAACAACTCGGACACGGAAGCTGGAAAACCAACACGGGCGTTTCTTTCAGCTCCTCTCGGAGGGGAAACGAGCTGTTCATGAAGCGGGCAATCGGGTTAAGCGGGTGATTTTTTCAACCGGTGATTGCTGGCATTTCTAGTGGGCCTTGTGTTGGGTTCGGGAATGCCACTACGCTTCCCACAGCTGTTGATATATACGATACTTTATCTTGGCAAGCGCAGATGGGTACATTATGAATGAAAGCGACATACGATGTGTGTGTTTTTGGGCACGACTCAAGTGACTCGGTCTGGTAGTTCCAAAAGGCTGTAAGACCTGGCACGACCAAGCTCAGCAATCAGCGGTGGCGAAAGACGGCGGTGATAATGTCACTGAGTTTTTTTCTGAGCGGTGCAAGAACTCCCGGAACGCATGGCTTTTTGGAAGCGATTAGTTTCCAATTACGTCTGGAACGACAGTTATCCTGGACACATGTGCCAAGAAATGAGCGCTGAACGTAGGAACCACTTTCTATGTAATCTTTGTGGTTGGCCAGTGCTAGGTGATGGCACTGCAACAAGAAATAAAAAGAACTGTCGTATCGTATTTCTCCTCATCGCTTTTACCGGATTGTCTGCCGTTTTTGCCCCTAAGCACTACGCAATACCTCGACACGATGATCTCGAGGATAACCGAACATTCTGAGGAAAAGCCGAACATTCGAGAGCGCGCGGAGACGTATGCCGCGGAAATACACATATCTATACGTCCCCGCTCCACCCGCACCTAGAAGTTATCTAATCATCGGGCAAACAATCAGAGGTAGAAACGCTTCATTCATAATGCTTCGCGCATCACTGTTTTTTGTTTCTTACAATTTTGTTAGAGACTGTGATACTCTCGCCCGCAATGGTCAACCATTGTCTCCCGCTCAAGGGACCACCTGAAGCATTGCACTTCTCTTGTGGAAGCGTATACAGTGCTCTTAAGTAAGCGGTTCAGAAAAGCACAGATTACGCGTGTGAGGCTAAGTGACTTGACATGGTGCCCACAGATGTGTGTCTAAAGGCCGGTTCACTTGAAGCACGGCGTCCGCCGTTGCACGCACATATGCACGAAAAGAGGGCTGATTAATCCGCACGCAGACTTAGTGCTTTGTTTCACCTCTGCAGCTGTCGGGTTTCGACGTCGTCCTTGTGACTTTCATTCCATTTGCAGCATTCTGCACGCATCGTGCGATTTCAGGAACCGCAACGATCCCGGTGACCTCACGTTACCATGGTAACTAATCCGCGGGGTAGCCATGGGATGACACTCCTGCTGTTTCCGACACCCGGAAGGACATACCTAAGTTCCAAAATACTATGTACTCGACTCACAGAAAGATATTTCCCGCTAAACTGTTGTGATTCAGGTGGCCACAGGCGATCACGATTGCCTCCAAATGTGTATGTAACTAAAGAGGCATTGCAGCTGACGTCACAACACCTGAGATCAGTCGAGCGGACGAGATTTTCAGCGCTTCGTGGAATCCTATCCTGAGTGATAATCTAGCACGCAGCTTTCATTGTAATCGTGCTTTTTTCTATCGAATTCCAAGTCAACTCGAATTCTGCGAAAGAGATACAATTCTGAATTAATTATGATGTGAGGTTCTGTGGTAGAGATGTGAACAAAAAAGACATTTTTCTGCTAAGTTGAGGCATATATTTTAAGCGGGATAGCTAAAAAGCGCTTAAGGGAAGGCCTTGAAACAGTTCCAGACTAAGCGTTGAAGCGTCCGGCTTTAGTAGCATGTACACATAGTTTAACAGGTAAAGTACAACGCTGTGCTCTGGCACGCATGCAGTTTCAGTGCAGCAGTGAGCACAACTGTTGGAGCGAATGCTAGTCTCTTGTAGCGTCAGGACCAGGACGTTTCTTAGGTAAGTGGACTCTTACCTTTAAGTCCGTTAAGTTACCGTTAAGAAATCTTACCTTGAAGTTTAAGTTTGTTAACTCAGTGACAGCCATAGAAGCCTCTCCTTAATGTATGCGCTATACAGACTTCGAATATCGGATCAGCTGTTTCTGAGACGGAGAACGCCGCCATGAAAACGTCCCCCCTCCCCCTCCCCTCATAGAAACCCATTACCCGTTCATTATAAGGTTCATTATATGTGAACCTGAATCCACCAGATTCACCACGGCTAAGAAAGTCGTATGTGACGTGACCAAGGGCGACCATTTTATGAAACTTGGTTGGTTATTTTCCGCCGGTGTGGTAGTGAAATATTGTTCACCGCATGTGGTCGGCTTTCGTAGATACGGCGGTGAAGTGGTGCTCCTTGCACGTGGTCGTATCTCTGTGCTGCAGCTGCACGCACAGTCGCGCTCAAAGGTTTGGCGCGAATTGATTGCCGCAGGCCCGCCGTCTGTCTTCCCCTCCCCCTCCCTCCTGTCGATGCTGGTGCCGAACGTAGGCACGCAATGCATATGTTTCGGGGCACCCCTAGATTTCCAGAATAGCCTTATATTACTCAGGGGACCCAGTAAACGACAGCGCAGCCGGCTTTCTTTGCTGTGCAGTGCCGTCACGTCATAGCCTCATGGCATGGCGATTTGGTCATTTTCCTCCGATCGGTCAAGACACCTCACTTGATATCAAAGACACATACACGCGCGCGCACACACACACACACACACACACACACACACACACACACACACACACACACACCACACACACACACACACACACACACACACACACACACACACACACACACCACACACACACACACACACACACACACACACACACACACACACACACACACACACACACACACACACACACACACGCACGCACGCACGTACGTGCACTTTGCTGGATAAGTTCAACTCACCGCTTGGTCATGGGACCAAATAGTAACCCGCCTATCTGGATTAGGCTGCAACCTTGAACAAACACTGGACGAGGCACAGTTTCTGC